GGAAATTTGGTGGGCCCTTTTCAGACACGGAGGCCTGGGCCTAGGGACAGGCCTTCTTCCCTTGCCAACGCACAGAAGCAGCATAAGAGGGCCATATGGGGGTTTTTAAGGGGTAAGGGGGCAAGCAAGGCTCTTTCTCTTTCAAAGATGAAGTGTCATCGGGGGAGACACCCCCAACCTTTGCCCTTCATGGGTTTAGGGGGGGGAGAGGGGGGAGAAGGAAACCAGTGAGTTTTTCCCTCCCCCCCCCCGGTTGCCCCCTTTTTTTCGAGGGGATACCCCCCTTTTGGCAAGTTGGGCAGGGAAAATTTGTGGGTGGCGGTCTGTAGGGTGGTCCTCCAGGCCCTCGGGGGTAGAGTATTTTTTTGACACATTTGACACATCTAATTGGGAAGGGGCAGAAGTGAGAGTAATGTGGGGGGCCTGGACTCCCCCAGCAGGTCCAAAAATCAGCTTCTCCACTCCCCCAGGGCCAACATTAGGAGGCAAAATCCTACATTTAATTCTTTCTCATTCTCAAATCAGCGTACTTTAGCCCCTGTCTCCTTCCTATTCCAGGCTGTCATTCCTTTTCACTGGGAGGTGTGCAGTAGCCCCCTCACTGCCCCCCCCCCCCCGCTCCCCCCCGCCCTACCCTACCCTCTATAAGGTCCATTACCCATAGGGGAGCCAGAAGTGCCTTTAAAAATCAAAATCAGCCTAACCGGTTTGGCTCAGTGGATAGAGCGTCGACCTGCGGACTGAGGGGTCCCGGGTTCGGTTCCAGTCAAGGGCATGTACCTTGGTTGTGCGCACATCCCCAGTAGGGGGTGTGCAGGAGGCAGCTGATCAATGTTTCTCTCTCATCGATGTTTCTAACTCTCTATCCCTCTCCCTTCCTCTCTGTAAAAAATCAATAAAATATATTAAAAAAATAAAATAAAAATCAGATCATGTCACACCCTTGCTTAAAAGTCCCCACCTTAGCCCTAGCTGGTCTGGCTCAGTGTATAGAGCGTCGGCCTGTGGACTCAAGGGTCCTGGGTTCGATTCCAGTCAAGGGCACATGCCCGGGTTGTGGGCTCGGTCCCCAGTAGGGGGCGTGCAGGAGGCAGCCAACCAATGATTCCCTCTCATCATTGATGTTTCTATCTCTCTCTCTTCCTCTCCCTTCCTCTCTGAAATCAATAAAAATATATTTTTAAAAAAATCCCCACCTTAGTCTAAAGGCCCTACTGGCCTGATCTACTGCTACTCCCAAACTTCATCTTTCTTCACTGCCCAGCTCACTCACTCTGCTCCAGCTACTCTGGCCTCCTTAATGTACCTCAAACACACCAAGTCTGATTCCACTTGAGGGCCTTTGTACTTGCTGTTTCTATTACCTGGAACACTCTTCCCCAAGTTTTCCCCTAGGCAGCATCTTCTCATCCTTCGTGTCTCAGCTCCTCAGAGAGGCCCTCCCTGACCACCCTGTCTTAAGTTTCTCCCTCTGTCCACCCCCAACTCTTTCTATGTTACCCAGGTTTATCTTCTTTTCAGCACTCATTACCTAGAATTATTTTATTTGTTTGCTTACTTGATGATTATCTATCTCCTCCACCAGTAAATGGGCTCTGGAGACAGGAACCATATCTGTCCTTTTCACAAACTGCTCTGAGCACTAGTAACAATCTGTTATATGAGAGTCAGAGAGACAATGATCCCGGCCTGGTTCTTCCCCATCTCTGACCCTCAGTTTCCTCATCCATAAAACGGGGTGGGAATCCCAAATGGACATGCCCCTCGCTCATTTTTAAAATTGTCATGAGAGTCAAAGGACACAACTGTGCTAAATAGTTCATAAACCGCAAAGCACTATAGATAGACATGTCTTTAGTGTAAACAGTCTTTATATCACTGTGGCTAAACTGTCTTAAAAATAGCAGCTTCAGGCCACAAACCTGAAGATCCCATTGTCTCCCCACCATGAAAACATTTGCCAGCAAATAAAACCAATTACGATGCCGTACCAGCGAGGAATGCCAAAGGTAAGTAGGCAATTCATGCCAAAAACAAAAACAAGGGCCCTGCCAACTATATACCAGGGCCACCATGGGAAAGCAGCAGGCAGGTGCACCTGTGGAGGGCACAGGGGACCCCCCTCAAACCACACAATGAAGTGCTTCCACAGCAAGAAAGAAAGGGAGGGGGTGGGGGTGGGAAGAGAGCTATCAGGAGGGCAGAAACCTCACAAGCTGGTGTGAGGAAGAGGTTAAGAACTGCACCAGCTTCAGCAGTGAGGAGACACAGGTTTGTGTGGGAAATATTTTAGCAATAACCACTAAAATTAAAACTCCCTGAAAGAAAAACCACCCTAATTAAGTCATCCAAGGTAACATCCCCAGCAACGGGGTAAACCAACATCATGTACCTCCTGATATAATGCATTGAGAAGGACACAGCATCACCTTGTGATATTTCTGCCAAAGTACGAATTTGGATCTAGACAAATCTAAACTAAGGACATTCTAAAAAATAACTGGCCTACACTCTTTAGAAATATCAAGGTCATCACCCAGCCAGTGGTTGAATGCTGAACTATGAACCATGAAGTCACAGTTCAATTCCCAGTCAGGGCACATGCCCAGGTTGTAGGCTCAACCCCCAGTAGGGGGCATGCAGGAGGCAGCCCATCAATGATGTTTCTCTCTAATTGATGTTTCTATCTCTCTATCCCTCTCCCTTCTCTCTCTAAAAACCATAAAAACATATATATTTTTTTAAAAAACATATGAAAAAATATCAAGGTCATGAGAGACAAAGACAGACTGAAGACTTGGAAAGTAAAGAGACATGACAACTGTCCTGGCCAGGTAGCTCAGTTGGTTAAAGTGTAGTTCCAATACGCCAAGATTGTAGGTTCAATCCCTGGTCAGGGCACATACAATAATCAACCAATGAATGCATAAATAAGTGGAACAACAAACTGATATTTCTCTCCCTCCTTCTCTCTCTCTCTCTCTCCTCTCTCTCTCTCTCTCTCTCTCTCTCTCTCTCTTTCTCTCTCTCTAAAATCAATAAGTAAAAAGTTATTTTAAAAAAGAGAGAGATGACAACTGAAATAAATGTGTGTGGTCCTGGATTGGATCCTGGGCCAGAAAAACTTTATTTCTTTTTCTTTGTCTATAAAGGATGCATTGGGACAATTGGAAATTTTTGAGTGAGGTCTGTAGATTAGATAACAGAAGTGTGTTGATTTAACTTCCTAATTGATAACTACACCATGTCTATGTAAGAGGTTACCCTTGTTTTTAGAAAATACACACTAAAAAGAAAGGGTAAGGGAGTATCATGTTGGCAAATTGTTCTCAAATGGCTCAGAATAGGATAAAGCAAATGTCATAAAAAGAACATCTGGCAAGTCTGGGTGAAGAGTATCTGTGGGAATTCTTTGCACTAGTTTTATAATTTCTCTGGAAGTTTGAAATTATGTCAAAATAAGTTGAAAAAGGACACTTCCTGAAAGCGACTGTATGTGGGATGGGGTGGGTCAAGGTGGAAGGGAAATTCCTCTACGATTTTTTGTAGTTTTTATTTTTATATTTACTTGTTTGTTTGTTTGTTGGTTTTCAGAGAAAGGAGGGATAGGGAGAGAGAGAAACATCAATGATGTGAGAGAATTGTTAATTGGCTGTCTCCTGCACACCCCCCACTGGGGATCAAGCCCGAAATCTAGGCATGTGCCCTGATCGGAATCAAACCATGATTTCCTGGTTCATAAGTCGATGCTCAACCACTGAGCCACGCCAGTTGGGCCAAAGAGATCCTATTAAGTTTTAGTCTATCTGTCAGAAGTTGTGCAATAGGAAGATGGTGTGATACATTTATATCAAATTTGGTGACTGTGTTTGGGATGATCTGACTTAAACATAGCTGTGATATTTATATCTATATCCATAACCTATAGACATGCTTGTTACAGATATATACCAAAAGGCATGTATCAAGAGGTTAATAGGGGTTATCTTGGGTGACAGGGTTTTATTTTTTGTTTCTGTATGGGTTTTTAAAAGATGTTTTTCTCTGCATTGAACATGAATTTTTTAATTAGAAAAAAAATCAATAAATCTTATTTTTAAGAGGAAAAAGTAAATATATAGCATGAATTTTACTTGAGGGGTTTGGGCAGGCACCATAAGCAGGCCAAGGTAATGTGGCCCAAAGCAGAGCAGCCAGACCGATGGGGCCTGGGCCCCTGAAAATGGAATGAAGCCACCACACCTGCTCAAACATTACCATGAGAGAGAAATAAACTCTCATCTTGTTTAAGCCACTCTTATTTTTGTCTCTATTGCAAGTAACCAAACCTATATCTAAATTAAACAAATAAAAAATTACAGCAATAATATTTATTGAGCACCTATTATGTTGCAGGCACCATGTCTAAGTGCCTCATACTCATCTTACTTGATCCTAATAAATAATCCAATAGGGTAGGCACTATCGCATCCTCATTTCACAGATGAGAAGACTGGGGCTTAGAGTGGTTGAATGCCTTGCCAAGGACTTCCATCGGGTTTGTAGTAAGCTGAGATGTGAGCACAAGCAGGTGGCTCCACAGCCCTTGTCAGTACCATGACACCATTTCGCCCTTAGGCCATCCAGACAGTGGCCTGCCTCCCTGCACCTACTCTTACTTTTGAGCCATCAGCTCCAACACAATAGAAGTGATTGACTGCAGACACGGGGCCATTAGCATTGAGCTCAACCCTCAGCCTGCAAACTCCCAGACCAGAGCTATGGAGCTTCCAGGGTCCCGGACAAGGTCTGAATCCCTGCTGATGTTGTGGGCAGGTCACTTCTCCTGTCTGAGTCTCAGTATCCTCATGTTCAAAATGGGGAGGATACCATTATGGACCGAACTGTGTCCCTCCAAAATTCCTATGTTGAAGCCCTGGCCCTCAATGTAATGGTATCTGGAGATGGGCCTTTGGGAGGTGGTTAAAGATTAGATGACATCATGAGTGTGGGGTCCTCATGATGAGATTAGTGCCCTTATAAAAAAAGACCAGAGAGATAAGGCACCCACCCCCTCTCTCATATGTCTATAGTATTTTGTTATAACAGCCTGAGCTGACTAACACAACCTACCTCCCAGGATTGTAGGGATTAATATCCCAGAGTCAGAGCTCAGCACATAGTAGGTGCTCCCTTCCTTTTACTTGGAATCTCAGTCCAGAGGGCCACATAGCCAAAGGAATTTATAGATAATCCACAGTCTGGAAGAGCAAAAGCAAATGTCCTCCGATTACAAATTTCCATCCCCTTGGCTGGTAAAAGCCTCATCTGGCTTTCCTGTCTCTCTGGCTCCATTTCCCAATCTCCCCCAGGGCCAGCTGCTCTATACCCCATTTCATGAGTCACAGTCCCCCTGCCAACTTCTCAAATCTCGTGATTTCTATAAGGCCCCAGGCCCTGGCACCACTTCCTCCCCCAGCCTTCATGTAAATATCACTTTCCACTTGTACTCTATGCAACAGTCATACCAAACCACATGCTAATTTTTTCATATCTCTACACTTGTTCATCTTCCTGCTAGGAATGCACTCCACCCGACCCACTGCCAACCTGGCAAACTCCTACTCATCCTTCAAAACCCAGTTCAGATACCATTGCTTTGGACACCTTCCCTACCTCCCACTGTGGTATTTCTATATCAGATTATATCTATATACCTATATCTATATCTATATCTATATCTATATCTATATCTATATCTATGCCCAGCGACCATTACGGCAGAACAACTGGAACAACCGGTGGCTATGACCCGCACTGTGGCAGCCAACCCCCCAGCCCCCAAATGGCCCCCCCACCTCCGCACCTGCTGGTCAGGGACACAGGGAGCATACGACTGAGCTGTCAGCACCCTTCTGAGGGGAGAAGCCAGCCAGGTATACAGAAGGTGCTCAGTGAGGAGTCCACACGGGTTGTGTTCCCAGCTTTATGCTGTCACCCCACCACCACCACAATGCCGAAGGCAGGCTGATTCAGGAACCCCGTGCTGACCACCCACACGGAGAAACAGCATGTGATCAACATCATGTCCGGTAGACGTCTGAATCCACTACTGACCCAGAGCGGGAAGATCGGGACTGAGACAGAAGGTCTGGGAAAAGCAGGGCCGCGGATGGCTGTGTTCTGCATTTGCTGCCAGACCCTGCTCCCTGGCCCCCCTGTGTGTGAAGCGCCTGCATCGCCACCCTTGGATGGAGGCCTGTGAAGGAGTGAAGAACTGTGGCTGTGCCTGTGGCTGCACTCGGCCTCCTGCCCTGGTGGATAAGCAGGAAACATATTTACGTACCAGAACCTAAAACCCTCTTTGTCGGTAATAGCACAAATAATGCAAGACCCACCCGTTTCTAAACAGGACTCTGTCCAGCTGCGTGAGAACCCAGATCCAACGCGTGCTCTTGTCCGAGGAGGCTGCAAAGGCTGCTGCTGCCCATGCGGTCAAATCCTCCGCACAGTGGTGATGTCAGAGCCACCCCCCCTCCCCAGGGCTCAGACAGCTGAGCCGCTGACACCTGGCAGGTGGCCTGGCACCAGCCTCATCTGCGCAGCCACTTTCAACCTTCCACCAGCTCCTGGAGGCAGGTGGGCTTGCGGATGGAGGCTTCAGTGTTAAAGCAACCCTGCTGGTGTACACAGACACACAGGCTTTTTGATGAGAGAGGACCCATAACATCCCTTCAGGAACGTGGTAACTGCTCTGAGATCATGCTCCCAGCCTTGGCGACTCTCAAATAGGCCTCAGTGATTCCACTTGCCAGATGCAAAGACTGACCAGGGTTTCATGAGACCAATCAAACCCTCGGCCCCAGAGCAGCCACCTCCTTTCAAAAGGAAGGTCACCCTGCCTGCAGGTCCTTGCTCTTCATCACTTTGAATATTTCTTGCCACACCCTTCTCTACCCAGCAAAGCTCATTTAGAATTGAAGGCCAGATAAAGAGCTTCACAGACAAGAAAAAGCGAAAGGAGTTCATCCCCCCTTGGGGTGGGGCAGGCCAACCACCTGAGGCCCCTTCCCCTCCCCGCACCCACCCGGCCCATTGCCCTGAGATGGGGCGGCCAGCTGGACCCCACTTGTGCATGAATTCGTGTACCGGGCTTCTACTTTATATATATATAAAATAGCATTTTATCACAATATATGGTAAAAATATTTATATATTTGTCTCCCTAAGCAGCCCATGCATTCTAAACTCAAGGTCTATATTTACTTGTCTCTGAACCTCAGAAGTTCACCCAGGAATTACAGCAGGGCCCCCTAACAAAGGTCATCAGCCAAGTACCTGCAGGTACAATATTGATTTTGTTTTAATCCTCACCCGAGGATATTTTTTCCACTGATTTCTAGAGAGAGTGGAAGAGGGAGACAGACTCTGAAAGAAAGAACCATTGACGTGAGAGAGACACATCGATTGGTTGCCTCCCACATGTGCCCCTACCAGGGCTGGGGAACCTTCAACCAAGGTACATGCCCTTGACTGGGAATCGAACCCACGACTCTTTGGTCCTTGGGCCAACACTCTAACCACTGAGCAAAACTGGCCAGGGCCTTGCAGGCACAATTTTGTACAAAGAAACAAAAGTCATTTAACATGAAAATATTCACCAACGACTAGAAGGAGTCCTCAAACAAGTCCTTGTTTTCACTAAGATCTATCCCCACATATTTGCTGAGCATTGTGAGACAGCAACACAGGGCAAATGCACAGCAAAATAACTGCAGGGCAAAAACGCAGTATTTCACAATTAGAAAAGAGATACTGGATATCTGCAAATAACCCCACCAACAAAGGAGAGTCTAGAGGAGGAGCCAGAAAACACTTGAGGAAGACAAACTCAAAGGCTGATCAAGGAATGATAGCTCCAAAGAGAATGATTTGAGGATCTAAGGATTAAAAGCATGTGGCACAACTGAGGGAGCCTTCCATCATTTCTGCCAAAGGGACCCTCTTTGTCACTGTAACAGAAAACTAAGGTGATGTAAAGGACAGTGAGAAAAAATAACCCCAAATCAAATCTACACTTGAAGCATTCCTTGTTCATTCTAAGAATAAGCATATAGCTTCAACTTTAACGTAAATTTTATATATTATAAAAAAATAGAATCTTATTTGTATGATTTTTGCTTTCAAATGTGCTTGTTAATTTGTTTTTTCATTCTAAGAATCTGTGTACCATTCCCACTGTAACCTAAGTTTTGTAGATTATCAGACAAAATAATGTTTTTAGTATAAAAAAATCAAAAATTTTTTTCTGCTGTAACAAGGAAAGACTGGTCCCCCCCCCCTTTTTTTTTAAGGATAAATATCTGCCAAGTTAAAGAATGCTATAAGGAGGGCCAGCATCTTTTCCCCCACCAGTGCTAAGGCTCAGAACCCACTCTGCCAGCCCAGAGACTCAGTTTCCCCTCTGAGGTGTCTGACAGTCCTGTGGGAGAGGAAGTGGAAGACACGTACTTGTAGACCGTGCTGTCCTTCTTGGGGCTGTGCTGCGGCAGGAGGCTGTGGGAGTACTGGTGCACGCCCAGGTCATACAGTGAGGGAAAGTCCTTGCTGCAGAGGTGGCAGCGGTAGCTCAACTCCTCCTGGTGGCTCTTGATGTGCTCCAGGAAAGTGTCGAGCTTCGGAAACGTCTGGGCGCAGCTTTTGACCACACACTTGTACACCTTGATGGTAGACAGGAGCAGGTTAAAGGGGAGGCAGGAGAGCTGCCTTCACTGCTGCCCCCTGCCCTGTGGCATCCACCTGGAACACTGCTGGTGAATGGCCCTACTCCCCTGCTTTTATTTTGATTGGAGGGTCCTCTCCTCTCAGCCAGTCATAATAACCACACTACCCTTTCCTCAGGCTCTGGAAATACAGTAAAAAGATGACATTGTGGCCTTCCAATCTCATACTGGAGTAGTGGCTCCCCAACTTGAGCGCATATGACAGTGACAGACTGCTGGGCGCCACCCCCAGCGTATCTGATTGGGCAGATCTGGTGGCCTGAACATGCGCATCCTAACAAGTACCCAGGTGATGCTGGTCCAGAGACCTCACTTTGAGAACTGCTATCTAGCTGGGGTCATCTCTGGGGGAATGCGCATTGTTTTGACTATTTACCACTGATTAGAATCCAGACTCTAAAACTAAATATTAACTTTTACAAAACTGATCTGATATAAATGACTTCTGTCAGGTAGAAAGGATAACCCCAAACCTTATAGGTTTTGTTGCCCTGTAGGACATTAACCAGATTTGTATCTATCTTAGCAATCCTTTTTAAAAAAATTAAATTGGGGTGATATTGGTTAATAGAATCATATAGGTTTCAGGTGTAGATTTCTAAGATACTAACTTAGCAATCTCATTTCAGTATTCCTTTTTCCCCTGATAGTACTATATAGGTATAAATATTAGTGTCTCATATCTTCTTTTGAACTTTCTCATCCTTCCAGTTCCCTCATTAATGAGTTACATAAAATTCTGACTCATATTCATTATGTTATTTACATGAGAATCATGTTTTTAACATTTTGAAAATTATACTTTGACAAGTGGTACACACTCCTGGTTGCCTAAACAATTCCATAAGCTTTCGTTTTTCTTTTAATTTTTAAAAAAATGTTTTTATTGATTTCAGGGAAAGGAAGAGAAAGAGAGAGAGGAATAGAAAAACATCAATGATGAGAGAGAATAATTGATTGGCTACCTCCCACATGTTCCCTACCAGGGATCAGCCAGCAACCTGATGGAGAATCGAACCATGGCCTCCTGGTTCATGGGTCAACCTTCAACCACTGAACCACACTGACCAGGCACACAAGTTCCTTATTCCTAACAAAGTGAACCATGATTTGCTCAAGGCGGTAACATACTCAGTTAAAGGCTGGTGTGGCTCAATTGGTTGGAGTGTCATCCTGTGTACACCAAAAGGTGGTGAGTTCGATTCCCGGTCAGGGCACATATCCAGGTTGTGGATTCGATCCCAGGTCGGGACACATGTGGGAGGCAACCAATCGATGTTTCTCTCTCTTTCCCCCTTCCTCTTTCTTTTTAAAATATATTTTTATTGATTTCAGAGAGGGAGAGAGAGATAGAAACATCTATGATAAGAGAATCATTGATCAGCTGCTTCCTGCATACCCCCTACTGGGGATCGAGCCTGAAACCCGGGCATGTGTCCTTGAGCGGAATCGAACCTGGGACCCTTCAGTCCCCAGGCCAACACTCTATCCACTGAGCCAAACCAGCTAGGGCCCCCTTCCTCTTTTTTAAAAAACAAAAACCATTTGATTCCATATCCCTGTCTTCCTTGCATCTAGTGTCAGCCATATGACTCCTTTCTTACCAATGATATGTAGTAGTCTTTAGGGAAGGCATCATTCCCAGAACAAAAAGGCAAAAAAGCTTCCTAGGGAAAACCCCTCTGCCTTTTGCATGTTCTGACTGGAATACAAATGTGATGGCTGGAGATCCAGCAGACATCCTGTAATCTTGAGAATGAAAGCCACATGCTAAGGATAGCAGAACATAAAGCCAGAAAAAGCCTGCGTCCATGATGACATATCTGATCTGCTATACAAGCCCAACACTGCCTACTTAAGGACTTCTTCTGATGTGAGAGAAATAAAACTCTGAGTAGTAAGCCAGTTTTCTATTATTTGCAGCAGAATGCATTCTTAAATGACAGAGCACATGCACTTACTCTGACCAACAAGAGATCTTCAAGGAAAGGTTTCCTCACTTCTAAAAAAGCACAGGAAAGCCTGGCAGGTGGGGCTCAGTGGTGGAGCGTTGACCTATGAACCAGGAGGTCAAAATTCAATTCCCAGCAGGGCACATGCCTGGGTTGCAGGCTTGATTCCCAGTGGGGGGTGTGCAGAAGGCAGCCAATCAATGATTCTTTCTCATCATTGATGTTTCTATCTCTCTTTCCCTCTCTGTTCCTTTTTCTGAAATCAATAAAAACACTTTTTTAAAGGACACAGAAAAAGATAGCCCCTTTTTGCTCATAGGTAAGACTGTAACTGGACCTAGAAAGAATGGCCACTATCCCAGGACCACAGGTGAGCCATCAGTAGAGAACAAGGCCACATGGTAGAGATGGTGGAGATGAGCTGAAAAACAGGGTCCTTGATGCTGGGTTCAGTCAACTGACTGTTTCAGGCCTGGAACTGCTGTACTTTGGGTTTGCTTGTTAAATGAGATGACAAACTTCCTAATTGTTTAAGCCAGTTTGAATCAAAGGTTTCTGTGATTTGTCACCAAAGATACCCTAACTAACTTCCATGAACCCCCACCCCCACTAGGAATCTATCATAAGAGAAAAAAATTAGAGATGTGAACAAATTTTTTTTTTAAATATATATTTTATTGATTTTTTACAGAGAGGAAGGGCGAGGGATAGAGAGTTAGAAACATCAATGAGAGAGAGACATCGATCAGGCTCCTCCTGCACACCCCACACTGGGGATGTGCCCGAAACCAAGGTACATGCCCTTGACCGGAATCGAACCCAGGACCTTGAGTCTGCAGGCTGACGCTCTATCCACTGAGCCAAACCGGTTCTGGCGTGAACAAATATTTGATTACAATGATCCCACCATGGTTTTGTTTATAATAGCAAAACTCAGGAAGTAATAGTTTAACTATAGAATTTTAAAAATGTAGCCATTAAATTTATGTGTTTAAAAATAGTGATGTGAGCTACGTATTTTCCACAATTTCCTTTTCTTTCTCTCTTTTCCTGTAGCCCAAAGTGCAGAAAGAAAAGAAGGCCAAGGGGAAGAAGGTGGCTCCGGCCCCTGCTGTCATGAAGAAGCAGGAGGCCAAGAAGGTAAATCCCCTGTTTGAGAAAAGGCCCAAGAATTCTGGCATTGGACAGGACATCCAGCTCATAAGGGACCTCACCTGCTTTGTCAAATGGCCCCGCTACATTCAGCTACAGCAGCACAGCACAGGGCTATTCTCTATACGTGTCTGAACGTGCCATTGACCAGTTCACTCAGGCCTTGGATCACCAAACAGCTACTCAACTGCCGAAGCTGGCCCACAAGTACAGACCAGAGACAAAGCCAGAGAAGCAGCAGAGAATGGTGGCTCAGGCTGAGAAAAAAGCTGCCAGCAAAGGGGATGTCCCCACCAAGAGGCCACCTGTCCTCTGAGCAGGGGTTAACACCGTCACCACCCCGCAGTGAGAGAACAAGAAGATTCGGCTGGTAGTGACTACACACAATGTGGATCCCATCCAGCTGGTGGTCTTCCTGCCCTGCCTGTGCTGGCAGATGGGGGTTCCCTACTGCATGAGCAAGGGGAAGGCCAGGCTGGGTGTCTCGTCCACAGGAAGACCTGCACCACTGTTGCCTTCACGCAGGTTAACTTGGAAGAAAAAGGAGCTCTGGCTAAGCTGGTGGGAGCTATCTGTTCTAATTACAACAACAGATATGCTGAGACCCATCGCTTGGGGAGGCAACGGCCTGGGTCCAAGTCAGAGGCTATTGCCAAGCTGGAAATGGCAAAGGCTAAAAACACTGGCCACCAAACTGGCTACGTGTACACTGTTGGGTTTTCTGTACATAAAACTAATAAAAATTGTCCTTCAAAAAAATAATAGTGACATGAGAAAATACTCAAATGTAAAATTAGGTTAAAAAAATAGCACAATTCTCAAGAGAATTTATGCTGAGTCAAAAAAAGCCAATCTCAAAAGGTCACATACTGGATGACTCTATTTATACAACATTCTCAAACTGACAAACTTATAGAGAGATAGAGAACTGATCAGTGGTTTCTGGAGGCTAAGTATGTTGGGGAGAAGGATGACTGTCTAATAAGGAGCAACACAAGGGAGAGCTCTGTAGGATCAAATAGTTCTGTACTGCCCAGCAACGTGGCTCAGTAGTTGACTTCCGAACCCTGAGGACATAGTTCGATCCCCGGTCAAGGCACATGCCCAGGTTGCGGGCTTGATCCCCAGTAGGGGGCATGCAGGAGGCAACCAATCAATAACTCTCTCTCCCTCTCCCTTCCTTTCTCTGAAATAAATAAAAACATATGAAAACAAAACAAAACACTAGAATAGAATTATCAAGTAACCCAGCAATTTCACTTCTAGGCTTATACCCAAGCGAACTGAAAACATATCTATATATATAAAAAGCCAGCGAATGGAACGCCGTAATGACCAGTCTGGTATATTTATTCTACCTAAAGAGAAATAAAGTACTGGTACATGATACAACATGGATAAACCTTAAAAACAGTATCTCAGCCGAAACCGGTTTGGCTCAGTGGATAGAGCGTCAGCCTGCGGACTGAAAGGTCCCAGGTTCGATTCCGGTCAAGGGCATGTACCTGGGTTGCGGGCACATCCCCAGTGGGAGATGTGCAGGAGGCAGCTGATCGATGTTTCTCTCTCATCGATGTTTCTAACTCTCTATCTCTCTCCCTTCCTCTCTGTAAAAAATCAATAAAATATATTTAAAAAAAAAACAAAAACAAAAAAAACAGTATCTCAAAAGGCCACATACTATATGATTCCATTTATATTAAATGTCCAGTACAGGCAAATCCATAGAGACAGAAACGAGATGAGTGATTACCAGGGACTGGGGGCAGAGGGTGATTGCTAATGGGTACAGGGTTTCTGTTTGGGGTGATGAAAATATTCTGGAATTAGTGTTGATGGCTGTACAACCTATGAATATATTAAAAACCACTGAAGTGTACACTTTTAAAAGGGTGAATTTTATGGTATGTGAATTATATCTCAATTAAAAGGAAAAAAGACTGTAGTCCTAAATCCCCACAGACATTTGATTTTTTCAGGGTATTAAGAATGTTTCCTGTCTCTGATTCCTTCATTATATGACCCTTAAGAGGTGGGCTTCCTCCCTCAGCACCATAATGGCCCAGTAAGCTGGCCCCACCAAGGCAGAATACAGGGGAAAGTTTGGCCCCATCCTGAATGGTTAGACAGTAGCTCAGACTAAATGAGGCCCACCCCCGTCCCCTTTCTAGGCCATGTTCAAGACCCCAGCATCAGCCAAGGCTCATGACCAGGATAGAAGTACCCCCCAATCCACCCGCTGCCCACTCCCCACCTACCTGCTCATTCTTATGCTGGGTCATGTGGGACTTGAGCTGGAAGTAAGTGCTGAACTTGCTGGGGCAGAACTGACATAGGTAGGAGCTATCGATGAGGACCACCTGCTTGCCCTCCAGCTTCTCCCCTTCATCCTCACCTGCTGTGGGCAAGGCCTGGGGCTGTGGGGCACTCGACAGTGTCTGGCCCAACCCTATGGAGAAAGCCAGGAAGAGAAGTCGCTGAGAAGGGCAGAGGAAGCACCAGGACAGAGAGACCACTCAGGAAGGATCACGGAACATCTCCTCCGTGCTCCACTGCGTACACCCCACACCCACCACATGCTTGGTGTTGGACACTGTTCTCAAAGCCCTGCACTCACATACAGTTGGTGTGCACTGATACCACTCTTCCTGGTGCTAAAATACTGAAATACTTACATTCCAATTGATGAATAGCTATTGCCTCAAGTCTCCGGTCCCTGACCTCCCCCTCAGACACTCTAGACCTCTCTCCATGGTTGTTAAAAATCCTGAACACAGCTCCTAGCTGTACTCATCATGCCTCCCCAGCTCCTTGTTCTTTTTTTTTTTTTTTTTTAACATTCAACTATTATCCTTGTTCTAATTACACTCATTTGTTTGGTTGCCCTTCCCTCACATTCTCTAAGGACAGGGGCCTGGCACAGAGTAGGCCTCCATAAATGTTTGCTAAATGACTGAACCCTTGGTGCTAGGCACTTTAGGAATTTAAAATAGAAAAAATGGTTTCTTCTCCAAGGAACTCACAAAGACTCAAAGTGCATACATAGAATGGCTAAATACACAGCAGGGCTAGATCCAACAGGGAGATGATATAAAGTGGCCATGTGTTTTTTGCACAGCAACACACCCCTTCATTGGCTGGCATGTGGCAGGTGTTGCTCACCTATGGGGCTGCACAGGAAAGCCCCAGCCTTACATTGTCCAATAGAGTGGCAAAGAGCCACATGGGGCAACTGAGAACTTAAAATTTGGCTCGTCCAAATCCAGATGTGCTAATAAATGCAAATGGATTTTGGAAACTTAGCATAAAAAAAAGAATATAAAATATCTTATTAATAATTTCTTTATATTACATGCTAAAATGACAATATTAATGTATTAGGCTAAATAAAACATATGATTAACATTAATGTCACCTTCTTTTTATGTTTTTTTAAAAGACAGATTATTAATCTTTTATTATTATGCCACATAACAGTGGACTAAGTTATTTAGAGTTAGCACATGTACATGTATGGGAATTACGATGGTCAGTGGTGGTTTACATTAAATACACAGGACTTTGTTTTTTAAGCACCCCTTTTTTTCCTTCAGAATAGTCCTTGAGCATCAATCAATGTTTGGTGGTTTCTTCCAGCAAGTCCTTTGCTTCATTTATTTTGGTTGCTAAGTACGGAGATCCACCTTTATCTGGGTGATTCAAAATCATGATTCTCCTGTGAGCTGTTCTAATCTTGGCCTTGCCAGCAGATGGGTTTACACCCAAAATAAGACTAGCTTCTCATCTACTCATTTGCTGTTCAAATCTTCCTTTATAGTAGGATGAAAGGCTAGGAGTTGAAATCTTCTTTGCAGTTTCTGTGATTATTTGTTCCAGAGGTTTCCAGATCTGAAATACATAGCAACCTGCAAATGCAAAAGCTGCAACACCCAGTCCTACAGCTATCTTGCCAGGCCCTGGTGGATGTCCGTGTCAGGCCATTTGGTCGAGGGCAGTGCGTACTCGGCATGGCGGAGGCCCTCGCTGGCACCACTGAAGGCAGCCATGGCGAAGTGCCCAGGGAGATGGGCTTTTTATATTGTTTTTATGTAGCTATTAGAAAATTTTAAATGGCATATGTTGCTCATATTATATTTTTCCTGGACAGTGTTACTCTAATTAAACCAATATTAAGGAAAAGGTCATTAGTTCAGAAACAAGTGATGGCTTTGATGACAATTTTACAAACTATAAAGAACTTTGGAGATCACCTGCCCATAGAGGCCAAATAGATTTCAATTTCAGATAAACTGAGAGTGACTGCCTGGAGCCATCTATTGAAAATAGATTCTGAGGTGGTATCCAAACTCAGCAAAAATGATAGGTGATTGATTAGTGATGGTTGCCATGGCTACAGCATTAGAGTAACACCACACAAATTGTATATTTGTCATCCCTCCTTTCATCTATGCCCCACTTTATCACTGAAGTAGACTGAAGCCCAAAGAGGTCAAGGAGGTTGCCCACAGCCACACAGAAACAAAACCCATGAAGCTGCAGAGGAGAGGTGTAGGGAGAGTGGCGTTCCCCCTTTCAACCCACCTGTGCTTTCCTCATCCTCCTGCCTGCTGGGGTTCAGGGCCATGACCTGCACGGTCACAGAGTTGCGAGAGATGGTGCCACCACTGCGCCCTGGAGGCCACACCTTGTGAGTCTGCATGTGCTTCTTGACATTAGACTTCTGGGCAAAGGCACGGCCACACGCAATGCACTGGAAGGGTTTCTCACCAGTGTGGCTGCAGGAAACAAGGCTTGTCAGCACCCTTGTAGGAATGGAGATGTGACCTCAACCCAGGAGCTCATGGCCACCAGGAAGCCCAGACAGAACATCTAGATGTTGCTGGCAACCATTCTGACACCATAAGGACAAGCCCGCTTGCTGAGGCAGGCAGACCAGAGACAGAAAGACCCTGTGCTCTTGGTGGCATTACTGAGCTGCTGAATCAACCACCCTGGAACTAACTTTCTCCATGACCATCTTATACTGTGAGATGAAACATTTCCTAACAATTTAAGCCCATTTAAATAGGGATTTCTGTTATTTGAAGGAGAAAATATCCTAGCTATCACAGCACAGCACTTGTATCATCATTTACTATTTTCTTTCAAATAAATTTTACATGTTTTTTTAAAATATGTTTTTACTGATTTTAGAGAAAGGGGAAGAGAGACAAAGAGAAACATTGATGTGAGAAATATCGATCAGTTGCCTCCTGTATGCACCTGACCAAGGTTTGAACCCGCAACCTGGGCATGCCCTGACCAGGAATTGAACTGGCGAATTTTTGGTGCACAAGACAATGCTCAAACAACTGAGCCATACCGGCCAGGGCCAATTCTATGTTTTAAAACTTAAAATATTTTCAAATGAAGCTTCCACTTGTTATTGTATACAGAAAACCACTTGTCATAAAAAGTAACCAAAATGCAATAATTATAAAATGATCTAGAGCTGCATTGCCCAATAAGGTAGACAAAACCACATGGACTATTTAAATTTAAATTCATTAAAATAAAAATTTCAATTTCTTAATCATACTAGCCACATTTCAAGTGCTCAACAGTGGTACCCTATTAGACAGCGCCGTTTTGGGCATTTCCACCAGAAAGTTCTACTGGACAGCACCAGTGTAGACCAGTGATTCTCAAATGCGATTGATTTTGCCCTCCAAGAACATTTGGCAATATTTGGAGACACTTTTGTTTGTCACAGCTGAGAAATGAGGAATGCTACTGGTATTTAATAGTTATAGGTTAGGAATGCTGCTAAACATTCTACCAGGCAAGGTCAGACCTCCACAGAAAAGAATGATGTGATAAAAAGTGTCAATAGTGCCAAGGCAGAGAAAGCCTGTTTAAAGAAAAGATTCTGCCTGCCATGTTTGGAATCTGTGACGTGTGTGCTCATTCATTTTCTCTCTCTCTCTCTCTCTCTCTCTCTCTCTCTCTCTCTCTCTCTCTCTCTTTCTCATAAAACATGAGCTAGCATGTGAGAGGCATTAGGAGAGACTAGCACCAAATTGAGGCTTTCTCCTTTGACTCTCCAAGAACTGAAAGAAATTGAAGAGAATCATTTTTTCACTGTCTTTCAGAACTTTTCGAAACCATGTCCAAGAACCACCTAAAATCATCTCATGTACCAATGACCCCACTCTGAGAAACACTGAACAAGTCCACCCCTCTACTTCATAGAAGAAAGACCTGAGCACCAGAGGGGTTCCCTGCATGTACTTGGAACAAGAGGTATTGTGGTTAGTCCTGAGTGAGCAGTCAGAGTCATATACGCAGAGCATGGCAGTCCTTGAGGCCAGGCCTTTCTGCAGAGGTAAGGACTGGGTACCACCCCTCATGCCTGCAAAGCCCCTATCAGTTCAGGTCCACTTCTCCCCCTACCTCACCCCATTTGGACCTTCCCCATCACAGTGGGCAGGCCCCGCAGCTTCCACAGACCCTCCCATTACTCCTGGAAGAGAAGAGGGAAAATCATCCTGACCTGGACTGAAGTTCTGAGAACCATGACAGGACAGATGGGGCCTTGGACACCACCCAGGTTAGGAGGCTGGGAAGGGACCCTTGCTTCCACTGCAGATGGCTCCCCAGCCAGGGCTGCCTGGGAGCCACCTGCCCCACCATGCCTGGGTACCTTCGGATGTGCTGCTGCAGGTCGAAGTTTTTGGTGAATGACTTGTCACAGTATGAGCACTTGAGTTTCTGAGCCTTTGGCTTCCCTGCAGCTGAAAGACAAAGTGGGAGGAGTGAGATGGTGAGGCTGGGGGTAAAGCTATGGGTGCCAAGGGCAGCCTCCAGCCACTCTACTCCCGGGGCCTAGGGCCAGAAATCCCAGACCCTGGGAGATCTACTCAAGGACAGGCAGGGGAAGAGGCACAGGTAAGTCTCTCCAGGTGCTGGGGGGAGGAAAGCCTAGGTCCTGCTCTGCCTGGGTGAGCAGGACAAACCCCTCAGAGGCCCCCCCTCTGCCTTAGGATAAAATCTGACCTCTCTGCTGTGGCCTACAGGGCTCTGCATTCTCTGCTTCCTGCCAACCTCATTATTCTCTCCATCTAGCTACAGCAGACTCCCTGCTAACCTTGAAAGACCTCAAACATGATCCCACCTCAGGACTTTTGAACCTGCTATTCCCCTTATCTGGCATCCTTGTCCTTCAGATAGCCACAAGGCTGTTTCCTTCTCATTCCCAGATGGATAAGTAGCATTATTCTCAATCATAGTACCCCATTAATCTCCTTCCTAGAGTAACCCATAAGTATTTATTTATTCCCTGTCTTTTCCATTAAACTGTGATAACTGAGGATAGGGAAATCCTGGAACAAGATGCTAGATCCCCAGTGCCTGACACCAAACTCAACATATATTTGTGAAAGAAAGGCAGTGTGGAAGTAGGTGACTGGAAGGCCCTGAAAATTTCTCAATTTCTCTGCCCTTCTCACCCGCCAGCATTTTCTGACTCTGCTTCCAACCCATACCAGTGGCAGACATTGTTTCTTGCCTGCCTAATATCCATTCTCCCCTTCTTTCCTCACAGGTGCTCTACCTAAGGGGAACATTTCCCAGCTTCCTTTGCTGCTAGATATGCTCATGTGACTAAGTTCTGACCAATGAGATGTAAGCAAAAGCATCATGCAGAACTGCTAGAAGCTGGCAGATGCCCCCTTTTTCCTTCTTATTGCCTAGAATATGAAATTAATGATTGGAGCTCTAGTAACCATCTTACACAATGAGGCACCCTGATAGCAGAAGCCACACACCAGGGATGGCAGAGCAGAAAGATAGAGGATATGTGGGTTCCTGGTGACCATACAGGCACACGATCTCCTGATTGCCTACCTCTGGCCTTGTTTTGCACAGGAGAAAAAATTCTATCATTTTGAAGTCACTCTTATTTTGGGTTTTTCATTACATGCAAACAAACTGAATCCTAATCATCATAAAAGGGAAGACTAGAACGAAGCAGCCTGTGGACAGGCCGATGCTGAGGAAAGATGCTCAGGCTGTGAGCCCACCTTCTGGGAGTCCACTGGCACCTTTGGCCCGTCGGGTCTTCAGCGTTGGTGGGGAGTCAAAGGTGGCCACGGTGCCCCCAGTGGTGCTGGTCATGGGGGCAGTGGGGTTGGGTCCTTTTGGTTTGAATCCCTGTTTGCCGGGGCTGTACACTGGGGGGGTGGGGTATACTGGAGCCTCCACACACTGGTTTGGCACCTAGAAGGACAGCAGAGTCAGGGAGAGAGCTCTGGGATGGAACAGGGGAAACCACCCCAGCCTGGAGGACCCTCACAGTGGCCCTGATCTCAGCCACTCCCCACCTACAGCACCATCCTAATCCCCCGCCTAGCTCAGTCACTCCAGTCACTCCCCAAACCCCTTTGAACTTCATGAAGTCAGAAGGTTAGAAGCAGCTTTGGAGCCAGGTTCAAATCCTGACTCTAACATTGATTTAAAAACAAAACCAAACAAAACCTAAGAGATCTTGGGCAAGTCTTTAAACTTCTCTGTCTCAGTTCTCACATCTGTAAAATGAGGCTAATCATAGTACCCCTCTCATTGGGTTGTTGTGTGGATTTAATGAACTAATGAGAACTTAGAATAGTGCCTAAAATATAGTAAGTACTCAATAAACTTTACCTATTGCTACTGCCACTATTATTATTATTGTAGCTTGCTTGCACAGAAGAACCAGGAAGTCAGAAAGGTGTGGGCCCCTACCAGCTACTCTACTTCTTTTTATTTTTTGTTAATCCTCACCCGAGGACATTTTCCCATTGATTTTTAGAGTGGAAGGGAAGGGGAGAGACAGAGAGAGAAACACTGATGTGAGAGTGTTTGCTTCCCTGCAACTGAGGTATGTGCCCTTGACTAGAATCTAATCCAGTGATGGCGAACCTATGACACGTGTGTCAGAGGTGACACGCGAACTCATTTTTTCAGTTGATTTTTCTTTGTTAAATGGCATTTAAATATGTAAAATAAATATCAAAAATATAAATCTTTGTTTTACTATGGTTGCAAATATCAAAAATTTTCTATATGTGACTCGGCACCAGAGTTAAGTTAGGGTTTTTAATGCTGACACGCCGAGCTCAAAAGGTTCGCCATCACTGATCTAATCCATGACCCTTCAGTCTGCTGGCCGATGCTCTATCCAGTGAGCCAAACCAGCTAGGGCTGCTACTCCACTTTTTTTTTAAATATATTTTTATTGATTTCACAGAGGAAGGGAGAGAGAGGTAGAAACATCAGTGATGAGAGAGAACCATCGACTGGCTGCCCCCTGCACGCCCCACACCGGGGGTGGAGCCCGCAACCCAGGCATGTGCCCTGACCGGGAATCAAACCGTGACCTCCTGGTTCATAGGTCGACGCTCAACCACTGAACTATGCCGGCCGGGCTGCTACTTCACTTTTTAAGTAACCCTGCTGGACACCACACCAGCAGGCATCCCTCAACCAAGAACTGACATTGAAACCACAAGAAATTAGCAAATTAATTGAGCCATTCAAACTTAGTTAACACTAAGCTAAAATCATGACACTAATGCATTGTGGGAAGCTTGGAACCACAGTCCTAGACTATCTTGCCAGCACAGTTCTGAACACAGATTAGGTTCTGCTCACAAGAAGCATGACATGTGGAAGGCAGAAGGGAGGTAGAAACCACTCTCCAGCAGCTGCGTTGAGATAGGTGGATTTAGTCATGAGCTTTGCAGTAGCTTACTGAACTCTACATCTCCTTCCTGACAACCAGCCCCAAGGACAGCAGGGCAACTGGGACAACCACAGTGGCATCCTACAGTTCCCTCACCTCTGTGCAGCAGCTGTGCCCTGGCTCTCTGGGCCAAGCAACAACAGTGAATCTGAAAACCAGTCATGCAACCCTGACTTTTGCTTCTCTAACCCTTCCATCAACTTTGTAAGCACCTAACTTCTTGCATTTAATCCTTCTGCCAGAAACACCTAGAGTGGTTTCTATTTTCCTGGCCAATACTCCACTCAACAGATAGTTGTCACATGAATGAATTCACCCATCATTCAAGTTACTCCTGAGCAATTTTGTGACTGCCACTGGGTTAGCTCTCATTATCCCCAACAGCTCTGCCAGGGGAGTTCCCATTTTAGAGAAGAAACTGAATTCAGAGAGCCCTATTTCAAATACCTGCTATAGGCCAGGTACTCTGCTAAGTGCTAAGGATGCAAAATCAAAGACCCAGGCTCCAACCTCAAAGACCACGCTCTTCTGCATGGAAAATAAAAAATGGCAGCTCCCCCTGTACTGGCTCCTCTGCCTACCAGGCCACCACCATCCTCTCAACATCTCACTGACTTAACTTTTCCTTTTTAATTCAACAAAGTCCCAGACTAGAGCAAATCCTCTTGTAGGCTCTCATAACATCACATGCTTGGAGGTAAAATTTCCCCACTAGTCTGGTTCTCCTTACATATAGATGCCATCTGACATGGAATATATGTCAGATGAATGACTCCAAGGTGACTGGGATAATGTGGCCTCAAGTGCAGGCAGGCTCTTTGTCATAACCATGCCCCTAGCACTGGCGTCTAGGAAGATTCTGAACTCTTATCACCTGGAGAGTAGACTGCTTATAGCCCAGAAGAGCTCTTCAGCAGGGAGTTAGCATGGTTTATATGGTGTATTGATTGCATATGGCCTCAATTCTTTACCTCTCCCTCGCCCATGCCCTTTACAGTGTGACTTGGCAGCTTTTCCCATTAAGAGATGGCATCTATTTCCTTATTTATTTTTTTTAATATGTTTTCTTTGATTTTTAGAGAGAGAGAAAGGGAGAGGAATAGAGAGATAGAAACATGGATGAGAGAGAAACATCCCCTATTGGGCATGTGCCTGACCAGAATTGAACCAGTGACCTCTTGGTTCATGGATCAGTGTACAGCCGCTGAGCCAGACTGGCAGAGCTTCCTTATTTCTTAAATCTAAGCTGGCCTTAGCCCTGCTTTGAACAATAGAAGTGAGACTGTGCTACTTACAAGCCTAAGCCTCAAGAAGCCTTGAGCACTTCTGCTTGCATTACTGCATCTCCACCACTGCCTGGCTAACCTGCTGGATAATGAAAGATGGGTGGAGCAGAGCCGGATTACCCCACTCATCCCACCCCAGGCCATGCTAGAGCAGCCGACAGCCAGCCAACCTCCAGACACAGGGGGAGCCCAGCCAAGATCAGCAGAGTTGCCACACTGACCACCATAGATGTGAGAACAAGAAATGGTTTTTCCTAGATGCCACTGAAGCTTTGTGGACATTTCTTACAGAGCCATAGCTAACTAATATATCTTGCTAGTTTTTTAAAAAAGTAACAGATACATACTTTTTGGAATCTCCCCAACAAACAGGTATTCTCTGTTCTGAGCACTCCCTGAGGGCTGCTTGTATTTATGCTACAGCCTCTATTTCACACTACCTTTTCATGGTTTGCATTTTACATTGACAGCAGTGATGGCTTGATTAAAGTCCCTCCCTCCCCTGATGTGGTACACAACATGATCTGGTTTTGCAACCCCCCCACCATGGTATCTCCAACAGTGTCTGGCACACGTTTGGTGCTTAGGAAAGGTCTGGGTTACCCATAATGACCATGACCAGTTTTTCCCCCTCCACCCCAAACCCCACCTCGGCTCACCTCCAAGGGTGGGTAGGCCTGCATTCCCAATGCCTGGATCTCCACTGTTCCACTTCCAGCCAGGGGTGCCGTGGCACTGTACACCTCCACCACGCCATTCCCGCCGGGGTTGGAACGCCCGGGGGGACCCAGGCTCTGAGGTGGTGGGGGTGGGGGCTGAGGGGGTGGAGGTGGGGGCAGTGGTGGAGGGGGTTGAGGAGGTGGTGGAGGCTGGGTGAGGTAGCTGGGCGCAGAATGCATGTTCAGGCTGCTCTGAAATCAGAAAAGAGAATTAAAGCTGGGCGCAGAATGCATGTTCAGGCTGCTCTGAAATCAGAAAAGAGAATTAAAGCGTCATAGTCTCTTGACACCAGCTGTCTTGTTTATCCGTGAGGAAGGACATTTGCCTTAGCTATGTGGGAAGAACGGCCACTCCCAAGGCAGTTCAGAGGACAATGCTGAGAGGGGGCTTGGAAACGAAGTTATGGGAGAATTCAGAGGCACCATCAGCGAGGTGCTGCTATTCCTTTCCTTTGTGAAAAGTCAGCAAAAATGGCCCAGTTTGTGCAGGAATGAGTTCACACAGCAGGCCTAATGTTGCTGTCTTTAGAAAGGCTTGCTTGTAGGACTGGCTCTTAACTGGCATCCGAGAACCTGCCTTGTAGAAGGTTCCCTATGTTGATAAGGCTCTTTTGCCCAGCTGGGGCACTGACCATATTGTATCAACTCACCTAGACTGTCTGCACAAACAATGTGATTTATGGTGAACACTTCCTCACCATCTGGACGTCTAGAGTTTTTATCATCATGGCTGGATATCTGTGACCAATCCCCAGTAAAAGCCTGAGTCTCAGAGTCTTAGGTGTGCTTCCCTGGGCAGAAACACTGCACATGTGTTGTTGCTCTTCATTGCTGGAGGAGTAAGTGTGCTTTGTGCAGCCTCTTCCTCATCCTCCAAGGAGGAGAACTTTGGAAACCTACACCTGGATTCCTCTAGACTCCAGCTGATGTGCCTTTTCCCCTTCTGACCCTGCTATGCATCCTTCTGCTGTAATAAACCACAGCCATGAGTACAACCATCCTAAATCCTGGGAGTCTTTCTAGGGAGTCACCACATGGGTGGGTGGCTATGGACCCCTGAAACACAGCCATGGATTCTAGGAATTTATTCTACAAAAATAATCAAGCAGGTGGACAAAGATATCGACACATGGATGCTACTCCAGCAAAAAATGGCAACAACCTACATGTCCATCCACAGAAGCCTGGCTAAGCAGAGGATGACCCATCACACGATGGAATCCTTTGCAGCTGTTAAAACGATGATGCTGAGCAGCATTTCATAAAGGATGCTCCTTTTAATTGCTCTTCCTTGGGTTCCACAGTCAAATATATTTTGGGAAAAATCTGGGATGACAAAATCAAAAGTATGTCTTTACTGCAGGAAAAAAACAGGGACAAAGCAAGGGAAGAAGTAGGATGCCTCCACTTTAGGTTGGTTTGACCAGAGATCCTTAATATATTGGAAAATCCCAAGGAGCCAGTGTTCCAATGAACTTTTTGGGAAATATTGATGTACAGTTATAAGCATAGAGAATGAGGTTAAACAAAAGGCAAAGAAAAGAAAATTCCAGAACTGTGCATATAACATGACCCATTTAGATATCTGTGTATATTATAAATGTTTTTTAAAACCTATTTCTAATTTTATTTGCATTCAAGGTCAGGAAAGCCAAAATTCTGATAGTGCTTTCTTTGAGTGGAGAGAATATGAGGGACTGATTGATTTCCCAATTTTTATGCTGAAAAATTCCAAACCTATAGAAAGATTGCAAAAAGAATACATTGAGCCCTTTCTGATTTGGCTCCGTGTATAGAGCATCAGCCTACAGAGTGAAGGGTTTGATTTCGGTAAAGGGCACATACCTCAATTGCAGGCTCAATCCCCGGCCCTGGTTGGGGACATGCAGGAGACAACCACTTGATGTGTCTCTCTCATCGTTGATGTTTCTATCTCTCTCCCTCTCTCTCCCTTCCTCTCTGAAATCAATAAAAATTTTTTTTTAAAAAAACCTCTATAAAAGAAAAAGGATATATTGAAAACTCTTCATACTTCATTTAATTCACTCAGTTATTACACACATATATATGTTGTTTCATCAAGGCACCTGAGAATTAGCTACATACATCATAACACTTAGTTCCTCAAAACTGTACTCAGATACATCTCCTAAAAACAAGGATATTCTCCTATATAACCAAAATTCAAACATCACACTCAGGAATCTATCTATATAAAAGCCTAAGTGACCTTTACAATGGGTGGACCAAATGACCGGTCGACCAGTCGCTATGACCCGCACTGACCACCAGGGGGCAGATGCTCAACGCAGGCCACAGCCAACCTCCCATGGTCCCTCCCCTGGGCCAGCTGGCCCCTATTGGGACTGGGTGAGATGGCCCTGATTGGCCTAAATCGCCAGCGAGGCTGAGAGACCCCAGCAGTGCACGAATTCATGCACTGGGCCTCTATTTGGATGTAAATTTCATACTATTATCTAAAATATTCAAATTCCTCCATATTCTAATTTCCCCAATAATGCCTTTATGGCTCCACCCCCCACAAACCAGGATCCAACCAAGAAACGCACATTGCAGTCAGTTACCATTATCACTTTAATTTCCAGATTATGAATAAACTTTTTTTTTTTTTTTTTTTTACTTTTCTTGTGTATTTTCTAATGGACATGGAACACTTTTGTTAAGAATAAAAACAGGAGTCAAAATAGCTGGACTGTGGCTACGAAATTCCAAAGTCACATTCTGGGTCCCCATTAACGTGGCAGCCTTCCCACCCACAGGGCTGGGCAAGGGGCGGCTGGCTGTCCTCCTCAGCATGGGGGAGAGCTGGGGCCACGCCCCCCTTCTTTCTACAAGATTCTGAATCTGCAGGAGGCAACATGCAGGCCTGGAATGAGATCCTGTGAAAAGTTAGTCCCCTTCTTACCTGCACAGGTGGGGGGCCCTGGGGCATGGGTTGGTCCAGGGATGTGAAAGCTGACATGGCAGACATGAGCACATCATCGCTCACCAAGATGTTCCCCTGCACCAAGGTCTGGATCAGTGGGGACGGGGGCACTGTGATGTATGTGGAGATCTGGAGAGGGAGGGAGGGAGGGAGGGACATGGGAGGGAGGGAGGGAGAGAGAGAAGAATGAACATGTGTGAGGCTCTGGAAAGAAGCAGAGAGCAGGATGCAAAAGATCTGGGTTCCGAAGTCCCACAGACCTAAATGCCATTTCCACCTCTGATGCTCCCTGCTACTGTGTGACGCTGAGCAAGTCACTCTACCTCTCTGAACCTCCATTTTCCTATCTATCAAATGAGAGTAATAAGTCATACTTCCCTGTAAGGCACATAACCTATGACCCAGAAATAATACTTCTGGTATCTATCCTAGAGAAGCACACATGTCCACAGGAAGTTCATGAACAAGAGTATTCTGCAGAGTGTTGTTTCTTATAATTCAATGGATTAAAAAGTACAATATAGTCATGGGTAGAATACTATACAGCAGGCAAAAGGTATTGCATGAAAAATCAAATGTTATAATAACATGTACATTATGTACTCTTATTTTTAAAAATCCAAAATAATACTATTATATAATTCCTGTGAATACTTAAAAAAGTATGTGAAAGTATCTTAAAAGGTTGAAAGGATACCTGACAGTAGTAACCTGGGGACAAGGGAGAGGAATAGTGCCAAAGAGGCCTTGATTTGTAACATTCTTTTACAAAGAAGGGAAACATGTATTGCTTTCAAACAAATGAATGAATAATAAAAATAATAATATGCTCTCAGGTTAACAGTGAGGATGAAAGGCAGATCTTACAAGAGAGAGTCAAACCTGCAGTGACTGCTCCTATCAGTAGATGGAGAGGGTATTTTGTTTTGTTTACCTGTTGCTTTCTTTTCTAATTTTTATTTATTGATTTGAGGGAGAGAGAAAGAAACATCAATTTGTTGCTTCACTTACCTATGCATTCATTGGCTGATTCTAGTATGTGCTCTGACTGGAGACCAAACCTTTGTATCAGGATGACACTCTAACCAACTGAGCTACCCGGCCAGGGCGATTGTTTGTGTTCTGAAGTTATTTTCTCACCTAAGACAGAAGAATTTTTCCCTCTCCTTTTATTGAAAAAAAAAAAAGGTGAGGGGGAAATATATTCTGATAACAAAACTAATACTCAATGAGTGAGAAAAAGAACTGTGTTCAGTGTTAGATGTCTGTAGCAACTTGAAAAGTTTCAATCTACATGTCCTACGGGCCTGGGCATGAAGTCTTTCATTTTGATGACAAGAATTATGTCTACTACAATGAATGAAGATAATGTTTTAAAGAAATAAGGAGGAAGTCAGGGAAATTTAACTCCTTGACCTGGATCCTGAGACATGCCCAGCTCCCTTTATAAAGATTCTTTAATCATTTAAGGCAGCGGTCGCCAACCTTTCAGACCTCACGGATCACCAGGTGGTGACCACTGCCTTAAGGGACCCCACCCTGGGTGTCTCTGCTCCAGAACTGTGTTCCTGACTGAGGACTCTGGAAGCTTCTCCAGATACCTCCAGCCGGGCCCTCTCCCATGACCTCCAGAGTTGTGTATCTGTCTGCATCTTCACAGCGGCCTCCGCTTAAAAGTCTAATGGGCATCTCAAATCCAACATGTCCAGCTGGACTCCTAACATCCCTTCAAATCTCCTCCTAGCCATTTCCCCATGTTGGTTACTAGCAACTCCAACTCTGGAGTCACCCTTGACCTCTCTTGATCTCACACCTCACACTCAATCTATCCACAAGCTCTTCAAAATATTTCCAAAATCTCATCCTTCTCGCGACCTCTACCACTATCACCCTGATCAAGCCACCACCCTCTGCCTGGATTTGTACAACAGTCTCCTATTGTACAACGGTGCAATACAGTCATGGATATTAACTCCTGGCTTTCTCTCTTGACTGCCATCAAACTCTGTTCTCTGTACAGCATCCAGTGTGACCTAGTTAAAGTGTAAATCAGACCTTATCCCTCTTCTGCTCAAAACCCCCCAATGGCTCCTATTTCTCAGAATAAAAGTCCACAAGCCCCACATGATCTACCAAGATCCCCTTGTTGCCTCCTGAGCTTATCATCTCCAACCCTCCTCCTTACTCATTCAGATCCAGCAACTCTCACCTCCTTGCTGTTCCTAGAACAAACCCAGCACACAACTGCCTCAGGGCCTTTGCACTTGCTGACCACATATCCTGGAATACTCTTCCCCAAATTGGTTGCTAGACTCGTTCTCGCATCTCCGTAGGTCTTTGCTCAAATGTCAATTCTTCACAGAGCCTTCCCGCAAGCACCATATACAAAAATGGCAAAAACTCCCACCCTTGTCATGACATCCTCTATCCCTCTGCATTTAACATCCTGAAAAAAAGTATATCTCTACAAATCTGTTTTGGTACTGTCTGTCTCACTCAGACCCATGAGGGCAGTGACTTGGTCTGTTTGTCCATAACTGTACCCCTAATGCCTGCAGTGCCTGACACACAGCGGGTGCTCAAAAAACCCCCACAAAACTTGCTGAATGGATGAATAAACAATTGAATGAATACCTGGCGATTCGTAGGAGGTGGGGCCTGCTGGACTGCTGTGGGTGCTGCCGAAGGCGTGTAGATGCTGTTGGTGGCCAGTGAGACTGTGGCCAGGGGCAGGGTATTCCCCTGGCACTGTTCGCGCTTGTGGGTCATAAACGCCGACAGTGAGTTGAACTGCTTCTTACACTTCCCGCAGAGAAAGACATCCTCATCATCTAGGGGTCACACCACACAGCAGCAGCATGAGAATAACAAAAGAAAAGCAATAAAGGAGCAGGTATTACAGTGAGAAATGGGAGGAGACCTGCATCTGGACCAGGAGGACAGCAGATCTAACAGCATTCTGTGATTCCATGTGCATGAGTCAAGTGCCAATTCTGTGCTTCCTAGGAGCTTTCACAACCACATAGGCACCGATGGGAGTATCCAGCCATGTGCATGAAGGTATCAAAAAATTAGCATCAGGAAATAGTAAAGAGGGTTTGCTTCAAAGTTGAGAACTTCAGAATCTTTACCCTGCCTCAATTTATTCATCAGTTGCCCAATAGGCCACAGGATCACACTCCTCTGTGGCTTTGCATCCAGTTTTCATCTGTCAAGCTGCCTCACTCAGACCAACTCGTTCTACAAGGCTCAGCTCAGATGTCACTCCTCTAGGAAGCTTTCCTAAAGCAGTGGCCACAGTGCCTTCTCATATCACACTTGTCCCATCACCACCAGCCTGTGAGACCCCCAAGGGAAAAAATATGTCTTACTTTTCACCATAACTACAGTATCTCCTGGGCACACAGGAGGCCCTCAGTGGATGTTTGCTGAATGAATTAAAAACTAAATGATTAGCTACTTAACAGGACACATGACTGAGGGCCTACCACAGGCCACTCACTGTGCTAAGCACTTGGCATGTTGTGGCAGAAATGTCAAACTGTCATTCAATATTCACTGTCAATACAATTTGCAGTGTGAAACATGGCTGTCTAGTTAAAGACTGTATTTCCAAGCCTTCTTTGCAGCTAGACATGTCATGTGACTGACTGAACTCTGACCAACAGGACAAGACCAGAGGTATAGTGTCTATGCAATTTCTTAAAAGGAAGGAGTATGGCTGACACTTCCATCTTTCTTCCTTTCATGTTGGCTGGAATGTGGAAATGAAAGCGAGAGGCTGGAGCACCCATCCTAGGCAGCATGTTGAGGATAGTACAGCCACAAGAGAGGAATCTGGGTCTCAACATACCCACCCCAAATGCCCATCGGTACTGCATATAACAGAAAAATAAACTTTAATCTTGTATAAGCTAAACCAGGTAGAATAAAATGTTCCCCAAAATTGCTCCATCGAGTTAAGCCAAACCAGAACTATGGCAGTTATCAATAGATAGCTATAAAACAATGGCCCAGGAATTAACCTGACTTCTTTTTTTGTTGTTGTTAAGGAGGATATTCTCTCCATAGGTTTTCAGAGAGAGTGAAAGGGAGGGAGCAAGGGAGAGAAAGAGAGAGAGAAACATGGATGTGAGAGAGAAACACTGACTGATTGCCTCCTGCACGCACCTGACCAGGGGTGGGAAATGAACCTGCAACCCAGGTATGTGCCCTCAACCGGGAATCAAACCTACAACCCTTCAGTGCATGTGTCAATGCTCCAACCACTGAGCAACATCGGCCAGGGCTAACGTGACTTCTTTTAAGTTGTTTTTCAAATTTAAAGCCAAGCCACAAACCCTAGAGACAAACTCAATACCTGGTTGGGAAAGTCCCTTCCTGCATCCCATAATAAGTCTTGCACAATCCCAGAATGCCTTGCTTTACTGACATGTACCCATACTTCAGTGGGACCCCAGCATTCCTACAAGGGAAAAAGCCAGCCAACCTACACTCTGGTTGGTTAACCCCTGCAACTTCTGTGTTCCCAAGGAATAAAACTCCCCACGACCCACATTTGGCGTGCAGAACCTGGGACCCTATCTCAGTGTTCTTACCTTCTGCAAAGCCTCAGTAAATCTGCCTTTGCTTTTATCAGTGTTCCTGTTCTAAATTCCTTTATATCAGGAAATAAGAACACAAACTCATTGATAACAAAACCACAAGAAACTTGCATTTCTTATTTACAACAGCTACAAAAGTATCCCAAGTATCCTCACAAGATTCCTATGAGGTAGAACTACTACCCCCATTTCACAGATGTGAAAACTCAGACACAGAGAGGTTAACTCACTTGTCCAAAGACACAGCCAGGAACAAGGATTCAAACCCAGGTGTGTATCTCTCTGTTCCCAACATGGTTCCCAAGTACTCAAATATGTTTGTGGAATAGATAACTGAACACACAGACTCACACAGGGCTCTAAAAGTTCTTTGCTCTGCCCAGTGTGGCTCAGTTGGTTGAGCGTCATCCCATGCACCAAAAGGTCGCTGGTTCAGTTCCTGGTCAGAGTACATACCCTGGTTATGGGCTCAATCCCTAGGAGGCAGCCCATCCATGTTTCTCTCTTTCTCCCTCTCCCTTGCTTTCTCTCTAAAATCAATTAAAACATATTTAAAAAAAGAAAAAGAAATCTTCTGTCTTAGGGGCATGGCCTGTAAATTGGAGAGAGTCATGCTCATCCTGTTCTTTCCATAGAGGGGAGACTGAGAAACGACTTCTGGGTCAAAGGTACAAACATTACCAAGCATCAGGACTCCTAGCCATTCCTGGCGTCATGATCCCCGCATTCACTAAGTGATTGAGAGAGGGTGTTCTTAGAGCTGAGCAGAAAAAAGCATTAGCCTGAGCATCCAGCCTGGGAGGAAGGGGAGAAGGTTCAGACACCAGAGCACATCCTGGGGACCACAGGGGGCAGTCCACTCCCACATCCTCTCATGAGTACCACTTGATTTTCATGGGGAGCCACTGACCCTTCCCACTGGTGAACCTGAGCAGATACTCACCTAGTGGCTGGATAGTAGAGGGTGCAGTGACACTCTGGCCTGTTGGATCAGGGACTGCTCCTTGACCATCCAACAACGACTGGACAGCCAGGACGGTCTGATTGTCCATTCCTGAAAGAATAAACGCAACCTCTTTGGAAGGTGGGCCCAGGATCCTGCTCTGACATCACCTTTACAAGCCAGACCCACTGCAAGGCCCCCACTGCAAAGACAGCTGATTGTGCCCTGGTATACATGCTCTCCTACTTCCACTGCAATAGAACCCAAGACTTTGGCCAAAAAACATGGTTCCTGAATAAAGATTACACTTCCCAGCCACTCCTGCAGCCAAGGAATGTTTAAGTTCTGGCCAATGGGATGCCTATGGCAGTTTCTGGGAAATTTTCTTAAAAGCTGCCTGGTATTCGACCCCCTTATCTGTCCTACCCTCCATCTGCTTCCTAAAATAAGAATCCCAGATCAGGAGGACAAGGGCCATGCCCCAGGGCAAGGCAGAAAAGTGGAAAAGTCCTGGGCCTCTGAGAATCTTGCAGAACACAGTCACCCTCATAGCTCAGGACTGCCTTCCTCCTAACTCCCATATGAGAGAAATGAACTTCTAGCCTATTTAAGCCACTGATAGGTTGAGCTGCTCTCTTAATCATGGCTGAATCTAATCCTAATACAGCTCCTGTGAAAATCACCAAGTCTTCCCCATCCACACCCCACAAACCCCACAAATCTGTTTGCACTTGGGTATCCTTACTTGCCCTGTTTTCCAATGCATGCTTGTCTTTTTGTTCCTCAGTAAATAGCATAATCTTAATTTGTAGTCAGGGGACTCTTGAGAAGCAGACTATCTCCATGTTTTCCAGTTAGTTGTCACTGCTGAGGTTCACAGTAGTAAACTTGTCCAGCCATGTCACTAGCTGGAGGACAGGCCTCGTCACACCCACAGTGCTTCCTCCCGAAGAACCCAGAGGGTGCCTCCTTCTCTCTGTCCCCACAGCCAATGCTCTGTCCCCAACCTCTCAGCTCTTACCTGGACACCTGCCCTAGCTTCTAACTGCAATGCCAATTACAACCATTAGCTCCCACAGCCAAAGTGAATCCACACTTTCCCCTGTTACCATGCAGGCCGTGTCCCTCCTGAGGCCAGCCCTTACATCCATCCCCTCCTGCTCCCTCAGAAACCACTCGCTACCAACTAGCCCCTCTCCTTCCCATGAGCCAGGACACAGGTCTCTCTAGAATGCCCCTCCTCGAACCCATGTTCCCATCTCTCCTCTTTTCTTCAACATCAAGCATCTGATGAGAGCCGTCTAACATCCTCCACCTCCCAATCCTCCTTCACCCACTATTCCCCCAATACCACCGAAGACCATCTGGCGGCATCAGACATTTCCTCCTGAAGCACTCACTCCCTTCTTGGCTTCAGGACATCACCTTCCTGGGTCTTCTCCCACCTTTCTGTTCTGTTCGCTCCTACCCAGCCTCCTTTACTGCTTCTCCCGTCTGTCCCCGAAATGTTTCTATTTTGAAGGGCTCCTTCTGTCTGGACTCTCCTTCCCCTCTTATACTCTCCTGGGCAGCCTCACTCACCCCCAGACTCCTTCTCCCTAATATCGCAGTTCATGCTTCCCTGAATGTGCTTCAGTAAATCTTCTACGGTTCTATGCAAAATTGTATGTTAGCATTTGTGTCAAATCTGTACCTGAACATTCATAGCAGCTTTATTTATAATAGTAAAAAAACTGGAACAAACTCAAATGTCCTTTAACAAGTGAATGTTTAAGCCGTGATATATCCAGGCTCGCTCTCCCTTCCCTCTCCCCTCTTTCCACACAGGCATGCCTCTCCTAAACCCTAAGAGTCCCCAGGTGACTGGCAACCAGGGCAGCAATGGGCAGCGGCAGCTCTCCCGGGCTAACCCCTTGAACCTGTCCCCAAGGCCCCCTTTTCTCTGACTCTCCAGTGAGCTGACAGCAGCCCCGCCTTGGCTCCCTTCTTTCCCATATTTCTAGAGAACCAAGGCAGTCCCACCTGGTCTCTCTCCTGCTTCTTCTATCCCAAGCCCTTCCTTGTTTCACTGCCTCAGCTTTAAAAAAAAAAAAAAAAAAAAGACTCAAAACAAACAAACAAAACAGCCCAGCTGGTGTGGCTCAGTGTCTGAGTATCAACCTATGAACCAGGAAGTTACATTTCAATTCCCAGTCAGGATACGTGCCGGTTTGCGTGCAGGAGGCAGCTAATCAATGATTCTCCTCATCTCTGATGTTTCTATCTCTCCCTCTTTCTTCCTCTCTGAAATCAATAAAAATATATTGGGGGGAAAACAAAAACCAAAAACTGTGGTATATCCAGCAATAAAAGGGAACAAAACGTTTGATATACACAACAGTACACAAATCTCCATGGAATTACGATGAATGAAAAAAGGGCAATCTCAAAGATTATATACTGTGTGATTCCATTTCATGACATTCTTGAAATGAAAACACTTTCGAAATAGAGAACAGACTAGTGGTTGCTGGGCATCAGGGATAGGGGGCAGGAGGAGGTGGGTGTGGCTATAAAAGGGCAACATCTTGTAGTGATGGAACTGGTTATGATAGGATAGTTTTGCAAGATATTACATTGGGGGAAAACTAGGTAAAGTGTACATGGGCTCTCTCTGTATTATTTCTTTTTTCCTTTTTTTTTGTTAATCGCCACCAGAGGATATTTTTTTCCCATCGATTTTTAGAGAGAGTAGAAAGGAGGGGGAGAGAAAGAGAGAGAAAGAGCAACATGAGAGAAACACATTGATTGGTTGCCTCCCGCATGTGCCCCGACTAGGGCCAGGGATCGAGCCTGCAAGCGAGGAGTGTGCCCTTGACTGGAATTGAACCCGATACCCTTCAGTCCTCGGACCAATGCTCTAACCACTGAGCCGAACCAACTAGGGCTCTCTGTATTATTTCTTACAACTGCATGTGAATCTTCAGAAAAAAATTATTTCAAAATAGCTCTGGACATTTTGCTCAGTGGTTAGAGCATTGGCCCAAAGACCAAAGGGTCGCAGGTTTGATTCCCAGTCAAGGGCATGCACCAGTGTTGCAGTTATCCATCCTGGTCCCAGTCAGGGCACATGCGGGAGGCAACCAATCGATGTGTCTCTCCACATCGGTGTTTCTCTCTCTACCCCCCATCCCCTCCTCTCTTCCACTCTCTCTAAAAACCAATAAAAAAATATCCTCAGGTAAGGGATTAACAACAACAAGTAATAATAATAAAATCTTTTTTTCAAAAAGTGGTGCCTATAAAAAAAAAAAAAAAG